TATCTTCTTCTTCCCAGCGTCGCCTTCTCCTTCCTCTCTCGGTCTCGATCTCTCTCTCTCTCTCTCTCTCCGTCTTTCTTCCTAACAAGCAGCGGATCCTGCGCACTTCAACGCCCTTCCTCCAAGCCTCAACGGCAAAACGCCCGCCCAGACCTTCCTTGAGTGCCTAGAGCCACCAAGGGCCGCCTAGGCCCTCCTAGAGCCGCCTAGGCCCTCCTAGGGCCGCCTAGGCCCTCCTAGGGCCGCCTGTGCCCTCCTAGGGCCGCCTAGGCCCTCCTAGGGCCGCCTAGAGCCACCCAGCCGCCGCCTAGCTCCCTGGCGCCTGCCCCTGGATGCCACATCCTGGAAGGGTACCTCTGCGCACTTCAACGCCCTTCCTCCACGCCTCAACGGCAAAACGCCCGCCCAGACCTTCCTTGAGTGCCTAGAGCCACCAAGGGCCGCCTAGGCCATCCTAGAGCCGCCTAGACCCTCCTAGGGCCGCCTAGAGCCACCCAGCCGCCGCCTAGCTCCCTGGCGCCTGCCCCTGGAAGGGTACCTCTTGGTGTACCGGAACTGACTTAAGGTCATTCGAAATTTAAAGATAATGAGCTTTTGGTAGGATTACACTGTTTTCAGAGTCATGTGGCAGGTCACTAGTGAATCAACCTTCCTCGTCTGATGATCTTGTACTGAAATACTAACTAATAGTAAAACCACAACAAGGTAAGCAATGCGGCAAGGATTTTAAGAATTGAAACACTTACGTAGCTAAGTAGCAAGGATGACACACACATTTAATAAGTAACATAAGATTCTCTGTTGCACATTATCCAAATCTGCGTGATCAACTTACAAAACCTACACTGTAGAGATGCTGAAGTGACTGGTTTTCAAGTATCCTGCATAAACTGTGTTGGATTTGTAGATGTCATAAAAGATAGACGTACCATGATGTAGAAAAGTAAAAGAGAGAAGCTCGAACAAACTTCAGTCCAATCCGGAATGTGAAGTTATCTTGAACAGACCAATGAAATCAGCTATCCATTGTAACATATCTGGAAACTCCACAGGTAGCTGATACACATAAAGCAAGACAATGTTGAAGCCTGCATACAAGTGAAAAGGCGTCCCCCAGTTAAGGCATATGCAATCTATCTTCTTTCATCTTCCATGTTTGCTATTATCTATACTTCTTGAAATTACTTCAGTTCATTATCCAAAAAGAGGATCATGATATGCAGACACATTCTTTTAATATGGTTCCAGTGACCATCTTGGAGAGAGAGAGAGAGGCGTTTTAAGGGTGTGCATTTGTTCGTTCGTCTCCTTTTCTCATTTAGGTGGTGAGTAGATCATCATTGCAGAGATACAGCAAGTGCCCTTCTGCCCCCCTTTAAATACCTGATTTTTGGGCTCTTCCTTTTCCTCCCTCTCTCTATGGGGGTCCCCCCCCCCCCCCCTCCTTTTTTTTTTTTTTTCTTGTATTTATGAGTTTAATCTGTATTATTTCTTATAAATAAAATCCATATTTTATTCTTGCCTAAACAACTAATAGCTGAAAATTAATCATTAGAATGGGAGGTATCAGAAAGAATTTAAATTCTCCTTCCTCAATATCACTGGTATTTTAAAAAAAAAATTGAAGAAATAACTCTATCCTAATTAGCTAAAGTGGTATTTTAAAATAACATGACAAAATTGTATATTTAGATAGAATCGCCGCACGGCTATACTATTTAAATATATTATTTTCAAGGTATAGCCCTGCGGCTATACTCTTCGAATATATATATATATATATATTAAA